ATTCAGCGCCCCAGTATGTAATGTAGCTAGTGAAGAGTTTAAGTCTTATGAAATTCAATTCCCTTGCGAGTATTAGGACACCGCAGAGTTGCAATAACATATAACAAAATTTCTTCACAAAGAGAAATGCTTCTTTGAGATAAAAATTCTACTGATTTTCGTACTTGCATTCCATGAAGCTGCATGACTGTGGTATCCAAGATACTCAACCATAGAAACCTCGGGAGCCTAATGTTTAAATGTAAGAATAAGGGATACAAAAAGAAGCTCAAGTTTGACATTGAACGAAACGGCCGCGGGCCTTTTCTCACGACACAGCAAGAAGCTGCCGGCAGGATCTCAGAGTCAGAGCACAACGATCTGCATTTGCGATGGTCTGGTTGCCATACGAATATTGTTTAGGGTTGTAATCGCATAGTTTCGTGCACGAAAATAGACGCAAAATTAGAGATGAGTTTTTTTTTTATAAATGTAAGCGTTATGACAAATATTATCGCAGCAGTGTTGCACGAAGGAATTTAAAAATTTTTGAATTCCTTGTCCACGACTTTAAATCTGAATACTAAAAAGATTTTTGTGGTCTAGTTAAAAAATTTTCATCCAACCGCACTTAATTAATAACCAACGGTTAGATGTCAGTGAGATTTAGGCATCAGAAACAAAAATGCTTCAAAAGACACAAGATATTATTTGCAATATGTAGCAGGAAAGATGTGGGCGCAGAAGAAAGTGACCAAGAAGGGAGTGTACACTTCACTCTCTTCTGTACAGTACCTGACGCAGCTTGCAATAAGGGTGTTGTCCAGGTAAGCTGAAGAGAGCCGCATCGCTCACAAAAGCGTTCAGCAATGCTGAATCTGAGGCAATCCTTGCGAGGTGATTTTGAGCTCGATGAACATTGAACCTTCCACTTCTGCCGCGTCTCTTGGAGCACCAAACTCCTTTGAAGACCTTTAGCAGAGACGCTATCCATTCTGGGCTCAAAGTCGTCATGACACTCGCACAGCATTCGTAATGAATGTTGCGCGCACAAACTAGCACCTAGAAAGTTGTAATATCAGCCTGTGAAAAATATCAGGGCTTATGTGAGCCCAAGTGCATTTTAATTATCGTTTATAAATATATGCTAAAGTGTCCGAAATGTCTATTGTTTCTATTGTTTCATTCACGTTTAACACATGTTCCAAAAACCTGTAAACGGAAAAGTATAAAAATTTATTCAATATTTCACGGGACTCGTTAGCAATGTCTTGGTTAGAAATTAATTCCGGTTCATTTGCAGGGGCGCACGTGTGTTGGCACCAACGGCGTCAACCAGAGTGATAGTACCGAGTCCTCACTATGAATGAGGCAACAACAAGAGTAAACCGCGAGCAGTACACCGAGTACAGGGCCTATCTAGACCTCCCTCGAAGAGCCACGTTCATTCAGCGGGCACGGCAAGTGACCTTTACAACATCTCCACTGCCCACAACACTTACTTCTCGGGTATTAAGAAAGATGTGAAAATAATAATAATAGTTACTTTATTATAAATCTTTCTGTATGTCAACTTCGCTTGCATTACTCTGAGTAAGTTGCGGTAAAACCTAAAGTTATTTTTAAGAGATTGAATAAATAATTTGACAAACAGAGGAAAATTCATGTCTAAATGTGTTGACTTTTTCCAGAAATATCGAACAAAAACGGGGCATAGAAAAGCATACAGGTAACTGCCGCCATGAAACACATCTTGCATATACTGTAGCAATAACTTGATCTGTTTTACAATCCTCGCGGATTTCACGTTTCGCATCATTAGCTAGAGACTAGTGAAGAGGCTGAGGAGAAACGTCTCGCGCAAGCAGCGTGATGTTCAGGCTGAGATCGCACCGTTTCCCAACCATAAATTTTAAGTTAAAACTAAGAGACTTCAATCAACTGATTGTGCAAGATCAACTGATGAGGCTCACAAAAGAGAAACTCCGCTCACTTCTAATTTGGTGCATTGTCCAGGGCAGAAAAGCAATTTATGCGAGCAGAGGATAAGGGAAATTTGAATATCTCGTGTAACTAAACGCATTTCTTACTCAAACTCGACAAAAAAAAAATTGGCAGTTTTTAAAATCGACGGAATCGACGGCTCTTTCCACATGACTCGCCTTCGCGATGACGCGTTTATACCTACGCTAGACAAAAAATTCAAAGTTGTCAATTTCAAAGCCAGTGGAATGGGTGACAACTCCCCTCCAGAGCTCGACAAATGCTCTGTAATAATGATTTTATTTCACCAAATCGACAAAAAATTCAAATAAAGTCAGTGGAATTGATGACAACTCCCCTGCAGAGCTCTACTAATGCTCTGTAATAATGATTTTGATTCTCCAACCGGACAAAATATTCAAATTTGTCAGTTGTAAAGTCAGTAAAATGGATGACAACTCCCCTGCAGAGCTCTACTAATGCTCTGTAATAATGATTTTGATTCTCCAACTGGACAAAATATTCAAATTTGTCAGTTGTAAAGTCAGTGAAATGGATGACAACTCCCCTGCAGAGCTCGACTAATGCTTTGTAATAATGATTTTGTTTCTCCAACTCGACAATAAATTCAAATTTGTCAGTTCAGTCGGCGGAATTGAAGACTAATCCCTGCATTGCTAGACGCACGCTGTGTAGCAACGAATCACCCGCGGAGCATCACTCGACCACAAAACCGGAGCAACCTTCCACCGAAGTTAAATTCAAGGTCTTAGCTTCAAATTAGGCTTCGTTGGAACGGTTCCATTACAAGACAATCATACAAATTGAATTGTCTTCCATTTGTCCCCGCCAACAGTAAACATAATAATTTCATGGATTCACAATCATAGTTTTATCTGGCTGTTATATATTAATACAAGAATAAGAAAACGAATTTCTTTTGATGATTCCAATATGAATCCGGTTAAAAGTTTCCTGGAAATTGCGATTCGCCTTGCTGACTATACATTATTAAATCCATCCAGTGCACATGGCAAATGAAGCGATCCTGTTAAGAAATCCAGTACTTCTAAATCTGTGACGGTAATCATTTACTTATCTTACACTATTCCTCTCAGTCGATGTTTACATATTTAAAAACATTGGAAATTCATCACCAGATTGCATGTCAAGTACGAATTATCGAGTTAAATGGTAGTAACAACTTAGAAACTTTCCAATAAAACTTTTATAAAGTGAACCGGCATCAAAAATTATTTCAGCAGTTGTGTTCTACGAATACATTAAATTGTTGATTTCATTGACACTCGTCCATCACGAACGAATTGTGGGATCAGATGCGAGCTCTTCAAAGCACAATCCACATCTACTCCTCACGGCGTTCTGGCCACGACTGACTCGAAAGACGGGCGGCGTCCGCGGCGAGACGAGCTAACCAATTGTGACTGAGGATCCTAGAGTACGATGTATCCTAAAGATTTATTCATCAAGCTAAGCAATTATGTTCACAATTGAGGTAATGAGACAAATTAATTTTAGAGAAAATCATAGAACTTAATTACTTTTTTCAATAAAAGTGAGCAAAGGTGGACTTAGATAATAGGTAATATTGAACATCTATTGACGAGAGATGCAATCGATGGCTGCGGGCATAAAGCCGTTGAAGCGCTAGACTTGTGCCGCGGGGCAAAATACTACCGCTTCAACACCTGTGACGTGAGAAGAAACGAGCCATCGCGATTATCAGGAAGCTTCTCACCAGCCACATATAAAAAGCACCCGAACTCTTCACTTCAAGCCACTTAAAGATGTCTCTTTGTCGTCAGTAAGATGGCTGTAATAACCGCTGCAGGGGCTACGAATAGATTGTGCACATAAGGCGCGCCTTCTAATGAAGGTGCTACGGACGTATTCTCATGCAAACGTAATGCTACGTATTCTCATGCAAACGTAATGCTACGTATTCTCATGCAAATATTGTAGTTGGGATGTTATTCACGGAAATTCAAACTAAGTGTTTTACGATCAGTATGGCGATGAAATGTCTAAACGTTTATATACAACATTGCACTTTCCACATTTGCTCTAGGCTCTAGTTTGTTAAATGCAGTTAATTTAACGCAAACTCAAACGCAGATATATAATATTTTTCAACTAAATTTAGAGAGAAACGGAGGGCTTTCTTTCACTACAGGTGCCTAATTCATGTGAACTTGGCGGCCGGAAAAGAGATTTCTGGCATTAGAAGACACCGATAACGAAACATCCGTTCAAGTTGTGATGGAAATAATGATACCGCAGGTTTGAGGCTCCGCTATGAAATCATCCCAAACCAAAATGTTGATTATTTTACCGCATGAATTAAAATTTTCGCTTTCCACGAACGTAACCAACTCAGGCAACCACATGTACAAACTTTTCACACAAGAAAAGAAGAAGCTAGCCAGGATTTACAACTAACATACAAAACGTTCAAAATAGCTCTGACGCTAACGCGCAGCAATGAACACCTAACAGTTGTGAACTCGATCGAGACGTAAACATTCAAATGCCGTGACATCATTGCGCGTCCTGCCCACACGTTATGACGTCAACTTACGCTCCCCGAGACCTGAAGCTACAAAAAAATCTTAGTTACGTTGCTACAGCTTCATGCTGTAAGGCTAGGTTGGTGCATGGTTGAACTCGTTCGTGTAAGGTTTCATGTCGTTCATCACAACCTGGTACTTATAAATGTTCACAAGAGGCGTCACGACGATCAAGAAAACAGTTCGCAATGGCATATGGGTGATATGGCGTGATTCAAAGTTTCACGTCCGAGTGTGAGAAAATACCCCAGGGTGAGGCAATTTATCGTTTACACTCACTTGATTTGCTAAAAATAAAAATTTAGAAGAAAATAATAACGTACGTACCAGAAGAATTGAATTATTGAAGGAAGTGCGGAATGAAAAGTTTTACTATTCCCAAATACTGAGCAAATTGTTTTCGCAAGCCACAGCTGCTTTGAGGATACCAGTGAACATAGCGTGTCCCACCTTTAGGAAGCTTTCAATCTCCAGTGACGAGACATTGGATCGGTCTGAGGAGTCGGACGCAGGGGGAGGAAAGCCGTCCGGGCTTGCAGGTTCTTTCCCTGTAATGACAGAGAAGAAAACGTCAGCGCTTCAAGCGTATACTCTATTAAATCGTGCAGAAGAAAACGTCAGCGCTTCAAGCGTAGACTCTATTAAGTCGTCCGCAAGAAAACCAGAACGCTGCTAGCGGAGGTTACAATTTCAGGCAGTAGGCGTATAGGAGGTTGAAATGGATAAATGATCACAATCAGCTTAGCCATTTTCGCTCTGGCCACTGTAGATAAAGGTTCGAATAATCCAAATTAGTAACAAATAAATTGGTTACATAATATAATAAATCATAACGTTTATTTAGACACTGCATATCATCACGATTAAATTAATTTGTCACTTCCTTTCAGGAATTAAATCATCAGAAACTTCATCTTACTTTCATTTTCTAGGATTATAATTCTGATTTCAAAAATATTAAAAAGTTAAAGCGCCAAAATCAAATGCAATGTAAATAATAATAAATGTAAAGTGAGGTGGGTGCAATTATGTGCATCACGCTAAGCAAGCTACAAAAAAATATCTCATTCCTAATTAATTCAAGATTCTCATATTTATCACAAATGAATTCAGAATCTCTGCACAATATTCGCTCGTGGATCCAAGTATCAGTGACCAAAAATTGAATGGAGTTTAGGTAGTTTTGTTGAAAATTGTGCATGTTGTGAAAACCGAATTCATTCCAAGTTCACGAAGCTTCATAAATTAATGTAAAAATAATGAACAGTGAAGAGATTGTAACTGTAAGTGTGTGTGATATGCAAAGTTGAGGTTAGATTAGACATTAGAGGAAGATATAGGGAAGGGTTTCATTGGACTCCGCTAATAAAATGTGGGTTTCTTATGATCATTGAGGTAAAAAATCAAGATTAATGATCAAGCGACCGACCCTTCGTAGGGCGGAAAGCCTTAATAACAAAGCGTTTATTTACAAGGCATTAATACGTAGCACAACTAATTCTTATAGGTGAAACGCTTGTGATGACAGCTTTAGCGTGGTTTGTTGGCTATCGTTATGCAAAAACTCATTAAAACTTTTTAATAAACATGAAGGCATACTATGGCGGTGCGAATATAACTTTAATTGCTCCGTGAAATGTAGAGTATTTTGGGTGCACGCTAGATCATATTGCGTGCCACACTGTGCATGTGAGTAGTAGCAAGAGGCCGCTGTGAGGCAAACCGTTATATTTACTATCAGAGTTGAGAGATGAGTTCTTTTGATCTGTTGAGCAGATGCCTTTGAAGTTATCGGATTGCCGATGTTCACGTTTCTGTTGCAAAAGTCTGTGACGCTCCAATAACTCGGTCTTAAAGTCCACAATGAGGTTCTTGGCATCACACGAAGGACACAATTTGTCAGATATGACTGCCATTTGGCCATCTCCAATTCTCGCTGAGGGCGATAAAAAGTCACGCTTCAATACGCCGTTTGCTTGAATTTCACTGGAGGCGGATGGGTTTCTAAGTTCGGTTGATTTACCAATTTTGTATACTTTACCTTTTATGACTTTTTTGAAACTAAAGTTATAGTTCCTCGCAAACTCTACATTTTCTTCGTTGGAAAAATTGCCTCCATCGGTACTAGGAGACGTCGAAAACAGATTGCCAGTCGCTATCTCATTCCGTATGTTACGCTGCCGAGTTTTCAAGTCCAAATGACCACGGTTGGTAGAATCGCTATGTCGTAATTGCACGGGCTTCACACTAACAGTATTCGGAACTGAGTTTGTGGATCCAGTAGTGCTCTCTGCAAACTCATCACAACAGGAAGAGAGAGTACAGTTCTTGGGCGAAAGCACACTGCAGAGCGGACTACGCAGAAGTGTACCTGCGTCGTAAGCCAGAGAACTGTTGAATGACAGACTCTTGAGAAAGTTCCGAGGAGGAGTTAACGGGGCAAGTGGTAGACTGGAAAAATCGTAGCTGTAACTTCTTCCTCTTGAGTCGTTATCAGAGAAATTCGATGGATCAGGAGCCCTAAAATATGAAGGTGGTCTACATTTTGTGGGCGTGATGTTTGCGTTCCAGTTGCTGGTAGGCGGCGCCACATCAAGACTTCTTGGGGAATCGAATACCCCAGCTGAGATTTTATCATAATTCTGAAGGATCTCTTCGAAGCGCAGGCTGAGTGGAGATTCTCTAAAACTACAGTAGACGTTGTGGCACGGCTCCTGGAAGTCAACTGGAGGTTGGATCTGTTTGGCGAGGTTGTTAGTAAGAGAATTAACATACCCTGCTGAGAGTAGGGGTTTTTCATCCATGTTTTTGATGTCATAATTGGGGTAAACACGAGGTGAAGGCGCCCGGAAACCCACGACAAAATTATTTTTCGATGGTTTTGGCGGCAGAGGCGGCTTATATTTTCTGAACATTGATTCACACTTTTTTACATTGCAGTTACAATTACCGTCGTTTTTCTTGGTTCTTCTGTTTTTCTTCCTTCCTTCGGTCCCCGACGCTCGCTTCTTCTCGCTGAAACGTCGTGGTTCTTGGCTAGCGTTGGGAAGATGACGCCGAATTGCATTCTTTGGAGGCGTCTCGAAGTAATTATTGCTCACATTTATATTGTTATATTGTCCAGCTTTCAGCTCTTCTAAAGGGTTTCTAGAGGCTTCGGGCTTATCATGGAAATTGAAACGTGAATCAAAGGAGCTTTTTAAGTGAGCTCTAGATGAGGAAGAGTTTATGTTCAAATTTTCAGATGCATTTGCATTCACCATTTTTTCTGAATCTAATAAGTGTCTTTGAACGAAGAAACCCTTTGATAGAGATTCAAGATTCTTACTATGTCTACGTTGCTCGGTAGAATGATTGTCCGTTGGAATCTCTTCGTGAACATCATTACCATTCGCTCGGTCATCTGGATCGTAGCACGGATTGTTGTAGACGCGGAAAGCGTCTAGGTTTTCGTCTAGTTCTGGGCCGGCAAAAAAATGTCGAATTGTATGATTTTCACTTTTGTAACCAATCTTATTCTGCAGTTCACTGTTGCGACGGTTCTCAACATGGGCGCCAACATGCTCTTGTTGCTTTGAATCTAAATTCATCTCAGTAGAATATCGTCCTAACGATTCTTGTACGGAATGACTCCTAGAGCGGCCTGGTCGAGATTTGCTTTGGTTAACAGTTGGGTCGTCCACAGATTCGACTATGAGCTTGTCTACTCTAAAGCTCACCCGAGGGCTGCTTCTAGGGGGTTGCCAGTCGAATCTATTACTGCACTGAGCTGCCTGCAGATCTCTTTCGTGTCCCTGAAAATTTTCAGAATCGTCGATGCGAGCTTCATAACGTATCTTGTCTGTGATGTTTTCAAAAGAAACTGAATTAAAATTATGTTTTTCATCGTTGCTCGGAAAATTGCAGCTATTGTCTTTTAATTTCTTAGCATTCTTCTTGAGACTACTCTTTCTTGAACCACGAATTCCAGTCGAATCTTTCGGAATTTCGCTGTTGAAGATCTGTTGATTCGTTAAAACGCCATTTGAGGTTTCGTTCTTCCTCTTAGATGTGCTCGTGAAATCAAATTCTTCATCGTGAAAAGGAACATGGATGACAACCAACCCATTCTCCTTTTGTAATTCAGAGAGTGTGGAACGACTCCTCACTAAATTTATGTCTCCTACCGGAGGCAGGTTAGGGGCAGTGGAAGAACCACGAAAATTATCTGGTACAAACGCTCCATCAGGAAAAAGCGAATGGTCTGGGGTCGATCGAAAAGAATTGGGAGGAACAGTTTGCATTACCAGGGACTGTTCGTTGTTGACATACTGCACTGAGTCACGTTGATGTGAATGACGAGTGAAATTAGCCGGTAATGATGCAAACTTATTAGGAGCAGCAACAACTTCAAAAGAGAGAAGCGTAGGACGAAAAAGAGGAGAAACGGATTTAATGGGATCAAAGGATGTTGCTTTAGAGTTCGTGTGCCTCGGGAAAGTGTAGTAAGTGTTTTCCAACGACGTGGTCGGAGCTGATGGCAGGGTATGAAAGTCCGTAATGAGCGGGCGTGTCGTGATGACTGAATCATTGAGTTGTCCTGGGTAGTTATTGTGAGCAGAGGGTAAGGAGAGAGGTTGTGTCGCACCGCAAGGTACAGCGGGCAAAGCTCGGAACGGCGCTTCGAGCGCTGAAAGTTAAACAACATGTCTCGGTTAAAATAAATGTTGCACGTAGAGATCTCCAATGACTGGAAAGGAAAATTAAATATTACATATAGTTATTTCAAGAAGTCAGGATTTGGCGATGCACAAAAGATATTGGCTAAGACGTCCACTGAAACATTACACCCTTTTTCGTTATTTGATGAGGACATCATAACATGCGGTAAAAATGGTTAACAGACGAATATTAAAACACTCACCATACTGCATCATGGACTGCGTCATCTGCTGCTGATGTATGCCCATCATCATGCCTCCCATGCCGTAGTTGCTCATTCCATTGTACCCGTGGCCAATCATGGGTGCGTTGTTAAGTCCACCAATGCTGCCCATGTTGTTCAAGCTTATACCGGGCGACATGTTGATGCCCATGTGGGCCATACCCATGCCAGGGACCGCACCCGGCATGTGACCAGCAATGGCCTGCTTGGACCAAGATGGCGCTGGGACGATCATTGACGAAATCATTTCTTCGTTGAGGGAGGACTCTGATGGCGGTGGAGGACACACTAGAGACTCGATGATCTCGTCTGTCGTCTTCATGAGGGACGCTAGGTCTGGCGGCTCCGTCCTCGACGACCTGAAGAGCGAGGAGAACCTTTCACCAACCACACAACACCAAAATCTAGTACCAATTTTAGAAAATTAACACAGGTATTTGTAGTTTATTACTTAACGCAAGTATTATTTATTAAAAATTTTATTTGGAAATAATACATAAAAGTTGGTAAACTCTAGCAAAATTTAGGTCTCAGCCCGCGTTTAGCAACAAACCTGCTTTTCTAGACTCCAGCTTCTCTTTGCTTTACTGCAATTATGAAAAGGCAACTTGTAACATTTTCTGATTAAAAGATAATTTATAAATTTAGTTATACCATTATACTTATTGATTCACCCACCTCATCATGAGGCAGAGCGCAAGCTCTTCTTGCAGGACGCTTTCAATGTACATCATGTCCAGGTCACTCACGATCGCCCCGTTGATAACCATGATCTCGTCACTCTTGATGATGCCTGCAACGCAGATCACGTTTCGAAAAGTAAGAATATTTGAAATTTAAGAGTATAAGTATAAGAGCTAAGAGTGTGTGAAACATAAATTAAGCTTGGAATATGTTATCATTGTGGGCACAGAGCAAACAACAGATTTTGCACAGCGCAAACAAACTTATTTTGAAACTCGGGCATTTGCGACGCTTAAAAAGGTAGAAGTTTTTTGGAATTTTTTAAAACTTTCAAGTTAAGAGATCAATCGATGAATGTTAATTGAAGGAAATTGCACTTTTTCTGTTAAATTTTTATGAGATGCACAAAATAAAAAAAATCGTCTGGGCTTCCCCACATTAGGATACAATTTATCGCTGCATGTAAACGTTATTCGACTTGACCGCAGAGCAACAATTCAGTGGAAGGATTCAGACCGAAATAATTTTTGCCATATATTGGGCGGAAGCAGCAAACTGTAACGTTAGCAACATAACTCGATGAGAAAAATAGTTGAAGAAGTCCATAAATTTAAACTTGACCTCACGCGAGTCGACAGAAAAAGTAAGCTATGGCGGAAATTAACTTTCGCTCAGTGACCTCTATAAATGAGAACTATGGGTAACTTTGGCTAGTGAGTTGCTAAGGAAAATCAAAGTTTGAGGAACTTCGGCAATCAAGATCTAAACTGAAGAGAGTAATACGACAAATAGCCCAGCATGCGCGCACCTTTGAAAAACCAGCCTGAGGTATTGAATTCGAAAGTTATGGATACTAACGTCAGCTACGGAAAATTTGCTGACGGAGTTGCCAATTAATTTGGTAATTTACAGCGCATTCAAAATACCAACCTTCGATAACTATTCTTGACATACAATTGAGTATTTCACAGCAACCATATTATTAGCTAAATGGTCTCCATTAAAGGTAACCAAGTAAATAATTCAGTTAAAGGAAGTCTCAATGAAAATTTTCTTAGGTGATTTTCAACCATGACCAAATGAATGAATAATTGATTAAGGTGATTTTCAGCCATGAATGAGGAACCAAATAGCATTTTGAAAGACGCAGGATCGTTTCATTTCTTTAAAATTACCTGTGCTATATAGAGGTAAGCTAATTAGCTACAGTAAGACTTAAGTAACAGATTTTCCTATGTAAAGTGTCATCATTCACTGACCGTTCTGCATGGCAGTACTTCGGTCCTCAACACGTGAGATGTAGCAGCATAGTTCGTCCTGACGCTCACTGTTCTCGATAAGTTCAGCCTCGACACTGAAGCCCCACATGTGCTCTAGGCTCGAGCGCGATAACTCAACCTGGTACAAGATCTTAGCGCAGATCTCCACCACTTCATGAGTAGCCAGCTGTAGACATGAAGAAATAATAAAATCCAGGAGATAAAACGTCGAGCATTATTTTCGAAAGAATCACTACGCAGATTTCGATCAGGGCCATCTGGGACAACAGGAAAACCCGGATAGCTTTCATGATGCATCAATAAATATAAGTGAAGTGTTATAAAAAAATTAAGTCCTCAAAATGAATTTAAAAATACGGCTCACGTAGTTCTCTATAAGATCGGTGCGGTGAGGCACGAAGTAATTCGTCTCCTCGAGCTCGCGCCTCTTCTTGACCCTGACGAAATGCTCGAGAGGATTGAGGCCGCGGCCACTGGAGGCGGCGACCAGGAATTCTTCTACGGTCATCGCTTCCCGCAGAGTGATGTTGGCTATCTGCCGCAGAGAAACGTTAAACCACATTAATAGTTTAAACTTGAAATACTTTGGTGTGTGTGGCCTGGTTGAAGTTGTTCTATGATAGTGAATTTCATTTAGCTTCTTGGAAACACGACTTGGAGTGACTGCTTTTGATCTGATCTAAATGAGAATTTAGGTTGAACAGCCGAAGATCATCAAAAAATCTTTTAAATCAAGGCTCGAATAGTTTGAATCCTGCTTCAATTAAAGGCTACTGAATTCCTGCGATGCCAAACTCGTTCAAAACATCAATCTATCATCCAGGAAGTCTAATCACGCAGTAACTGTTATCAAAAACCTCGAAAACCTCAGGTGTGTTTTTCGACTTGCTACTCAGCGACGACCATTAGCTGCCTTCCCCTATATTCCTTCGAAAACACTCATCCAACCCGCGAAATAAATTAACTGCGCAAAAATGCAATCAACATGGCTCAGTGGGGCTGTCATGGCGAAATCTTGGATCAAAGGTGGTGAGGGTTTCGTAATGAAGCATATTATGGAGCGAGGTCTGACTGCCATACTAATGAGTGAGCTTCTTCATAGAGTATATCCGAATGAAGAGCAGTTCGCATACTAATAAGTTCACGTCCTAATGAAGATGTCAGAAAATGCGACTTTGGGATTCTCAATGGGTAAAAAAAATTCTCAAAAATGTTCAAATTATTTCCCTTCGACCAGATGGGACCAACAGAATTATTTCATCGCACCAGAAACTCGAAGTGAAAATAATGCTGGAATCTAAGGCGGAAGTAAAAAAATAAGTATGGGCTGTCTGATAAAATTGCAAATAGATGCAGCACAATAGGAATTAAAAGAAGTTAAATCCGAAAACGAGAAGAGAATGAGAAGTAAGCAGAGATTAGAAACGCACTTTTAAATTTACTCGTATACTATTTAACTCAGGGCAAATGCAGACCATAAAATATTGCAGGAGAAAGTAATCTTAACAATCAATGTTTGATTTCTTGAAATGCGACCGTCAATCTTGTGCTGACAAAAATAATTTGCGAAAACTTTGCTCAAAAAAGTATCGAAACCGAAATACTCAGACTAAATCGGGCTAAAACGACCTTGGATCACGTAAAGGCTAGTCTTCGTTGAAGTTATCAGTCACACGCAAAAGTTTACACTTACTTGATTGTCAGGGAGGGAGACTTTATAAACTTTGTCAGGCTCCATGCTCTGCTGGAGTTGCAGCGACCTGCGCGACGACACGCTGTTGCTGCGAGACAGCATCGGCGCTCTGTCAAGTTTAGTTATACTGATATTATTTTCAAAATCTCTGGATTTAACACTATGATAAATAAATTGAGTTGATATGTATCCGAGGATCAGACAGCGACACAAAGACTTTCGATACTGCTAATAAAAATAAGTAACGATGGAAAATATGCGAATATTTTTTCGAAAATTGTCCAAAAAAGTACTAATTCTTTCCTTAAAAAAATATTATTACTCAAATTTTCAATTCTTAGACATAAATGAATCGTTCAAATCGAACATTAAACACAGGAAAGGCAAAAAAATGAAGATTATTGATAATAAATGACCAACTACGAACGCCACTTCAGTAAAACAATTTAATAAAAAGAAACCTCGAATTTATGAGCTCACAGGCCCGCTTTGTCCAAATCAATTCGTGTGGCTGCGGACGTTCAGTTTTTCCGACTCTAAACGCCAAAACTTTCGCAATAAAAACAAAAGCTTAATGGAATAAGTTGTAGTAAGGAAAAACGACCGAATGGAAAACGATGTCTGCATGAAGGCATTTAACATGAAAGATGCAGGTGAATTTTAAGCAGCACTGAACATCGTCGTACCACACCAGTCGAAACGGGCAAATTACTTAAAGTAAAAATTAATATGAAAATGTTGATATTTATTTCAAATGTCTAAATTAAAGCTTGCAGAAGCTTCTCGGTAGTAAAACTGTAAAGACCAGAAAAGCTGGAGTAGAATCCCCTTCATCACAAAACCATCGCAGTTAAATGGTAGAGGTGACTCCGTAGATTGATTTCACTGCCCATTTTTATTCAAATAACGATCAGCCGAATTATACATTTGGGGCGATGCAGTATTCAGAAAAATATTTTGGAAAATAATGCATGTAATATAATTCCGAACAACGTTTGGGCGGTTAACCTTATTCGGAATATTTTTTATACATTATTGCGCTTATACAGAGGAACCATGTTAAAAAAATATCTACCAAGATCATGTAACTGTATATAACATCATGGCGCACTAGATCCAAATAGGGAGCACAAACTCAGCACATAGTCTTGAACGTGCAAGAAGATTTCCTATTGAACGGATACGTTTTATTTGGTTCTAAGTGAAGCGAGATCATTTTTCTCCATTAAGGATGGTGTAGGCCATGAAAGAAAATAATGAGCCGAGGAAGTTCACTTAGGGATGTTTTAAGTCCAGCTAACAGAATGTTCCTCTTCATTTGTTAGTCCATAAAAACGATCACAAGTATAAGAAAGCTCGCCCAACTTCTACGAGAATCCGATCACCGGAATAAGGAAAAGAGCCAAAGTGAATCGCTGGAGTTTAGGTCAGGAAAATTTCAGTGAACTTCGGATATTCAGGAAAATCATGGAAGTTTCTCAAAAAAAATAGCGGAAAACAATTTTATTCAATATTTTAGCCCGGAAGAGAATATTTTTGAAAGATAGCCAAGTTTAGTCATGGCCACTGAGAGTGGAAAAAGGTGCAGGAGAGACAGAGTGCAACACTCGAATATTTTCGTGCAATTATACAACTTTTTATAAAAACATAAAGCCGGTAAGGATGTTCAAATTTTTATGCATGCGTACGTTTACGATGAAATCGTACAGAATGGCATGAGAATGGTTTTTGGCTCCGGGTAGACAAATGATTTTTTAATGCACAAAGGGAAGAAAAAACTTTATAGTAATTCGAATGAAGAAAGTAATTGTATGGAAAAAGTCACAAACACAAGAGCTAAGTTAGCTGCTGCATTTGACTTATGAATTCCCTGCAATATTACACAGGAAAATCTCTGGCATCTTGAATACGATATCAGAAAACGAGTCACAAAAATAAAGATTCCCTAGTAATCTCGGTGAAGTAAAAACATTAAAAAATACTTTGTTCATACTCTCTTCTTATAAAAATAAATAATTTTCAATGATCAAGGTTCACGTTTCCCCATATTATAGTGCGCACACCCCACGATGTTCTGATAGCTAAGATCTGGGACCCTACTTTCAAAACTCGCTAAGTGAACATAAGTACTTACGCTCTATTTTCTTGTCTATGATTGGTGGATTTTGCTTGCGTGGCCGTCAATGATTGGCTGATGGACTTACGATCTCTTAACTTTTTTGAAAGTATAGCCCCTGTAACTAAGACCTGGACAACGTTGTAAAGGATAGAAATAGTTGGGTATTTTAATGTTATGCGAGGCGATAATTTTTGTTCCAAAATGGTTTATTATTTTGAATTTGTCATTTTAGTTTAGAGTTTACGGATGGCTATAAGTGCGGAAGGAGAAGGTGATAAGATTATTCTGTTGTGGAAAGCCGGAGCGGAGGTATGTGCTGCGTTAGGATGTGGACATGTGAATATATACGTGAATAGATTGATGTGAACAAATTGTGTAAATATTTAGGTTATATATGTATGAATACTTTAATGTTTAGGTAACTATTATTTATCTCTTTTATTTGTTTCTTTTGTAGGAAAGCCTCAAATCTCAGAGTCAAGAGTTAGTCTCGAAAGCCATGCATCCAAGATGAAGTGTTAAAGTGTTAATGTGCCGAGGTCATTCTTTATTATTTATTGTTTTCATTTAAAGTGTTAATAAAGTGTTTTAATAAGTACTCGTTAATATCCAGAACCTATACAATCCTGTAGGCTAGTTGGGTGTTCTGAGAGCCCCAACAACGTTACCTCCTTTTGGTGGCACCGCGGCCGGCGAGGAGGTTGTTGAGCAGCGACGGGCTGCGGGCGCAGATGTACGCATGGAAGCTGCTCACTGTGAACACTCCCAGCCGGCTCAACGTGCCCTTTGTGCTCCGGGACACGTGCATCAGCAGGCCCTGACACGTTAATATATTTATCATATTATATTATATATAAATTATATTATATTCGTGATCATTACGCATGGATAAATTTAATATTAACCCTCTCTCTAGCCGGCTCAACGTGCCCTTTGTGCTCCGGGACACGTGCATCAGCAGGCCCTGACACGTTAATATATTTATCATATTATATTATATATAAATTATATTATATTCGTGATCATTACGCATGGAAATTTAATATTAACCCTCTCTCTAGCCGGCTCAACGTGCCCTTTGTGCTCCGGGACACGTGCATCAGCAGGCCCTGACACGTTAATATATTTATCATATTATATTATATATAAATTCCCATGGATAAATTTAATATTAACCCTCCTCTCTAGCTGGTCAACGTGCCCTTTGTGCTCCGGGACACGTGCATCAGCAGGCCCTGACACGTTAATATATTATATCATTATTATATTATATATAAATTATATTCGTGATCATTACGCATGGATAAATTTAATATTAACCCTCTCTCTAGCCGGCTCAACGTGCCCTTTGTACTCCGGGACACGTGCATCAGCAGGCCCTGATGCGCTATGGGTGGAAAGTATACATGAATGACTTAAATTATAATTTTGACGACTAATTCATGAATGATATCGTTCGAATTTCATGCATTTTTAAACAGCAAGTTTCTTAGCATGTTTAAAACATGGACTACTGCTGACCCAAAACAATTTTGTACATCCTCGTTCCACAAACGCAATGAATTGATTAAAACCCAAATTCGCCGGCTGAGAAGCAATCACCGCTGAGCTCGACGTCTGCCGTTCTATTCCTCTAATTTCGCTAGGGCCGCTGACGACCTGAAAACGAATCATGCAAATTGAGCGATCCTGAAGATTACTGCAATTGAGTGGCGGACCGATCAAGGAAATTGGCTGTTCGAAAATTTATTTAAATTACGATTGTAAGAAACGCAGTGCCCAGTTTCATTTCGAGATTGTTTACCAGGCAAGTCAATTTTAAAGCTGAAAGAATATCATCTATGACAATAGAAGTCTGTTGAGAAAAAGAGTACGCTATTTGAACGCAAACGGTAAAGTAATTCGGAGTAAACATATTTAAATCAGGAGTTTTGTGATGGTATCAATGTTGTAGAAGTTATTGAATTTTAATGTATCGACCGCATTGATTTCCTCCAAATGTACTGTAAGTGGGAGGAAAAAAAGACTTGGACTTACGATGATTACAAAAATTCAAAGGCTACAATAAAACTTCGGCCTCTAAGTTTTGTTCAAGTAAAGTTGGCAAAATAAACCAAGAAACAGTTTTCGTTTCATTGAAAACTTTAAATCGGATAAGACTCCCTTCTGTTTCAACAAGGTACGTATATCCTTGTTGTTTATCAATAATATATGAATAAATATCGAGTATATATCACAGGTGACATGAACATCGCGAAGCCATCTAATTAAATCTGTTTCCAATACAATTTCGCTTATAATAAATATTGCAGCGCGAAACAAGGCAACTAAATTTATGGTGCTGAAGCCCGCATGTTCGTACTGACATTGGCGGACATGTTAATTTCAGCATGACTTGCTAGATGACGACTACAACAGAGAGACGAGAGCCGACCCTAGCCTTACCATCATCAGGATGATGAATTCGGACGAGAGAAATTCCCTTAGATGAGGTACAAAATTCACGTAGTCAAAAAATGAAGTAAAAGTAATGCACGTAGCTGGTTATAAATATAATATTGTTCGATCCCAAAATCAACTGATAAAAAAAGCGTATGAATATTTAGGGCGTATGGCATTAAACTCGTCCGCGAGAAAATAGATCTCTTCAACTTTGAAGGCTTCACTGCGGTCTTAAGACGTACGGCAGCGGAGTGCATTCCCGGCATTCTCAGCGATACACACTGCATAATAAAACGAGAGTAAAATGTTCCAAGTTTCTCAATAAAAATTCAAACACCGCATGATACTTGCTAAAAGAATCTAGAAACAGTTTAAAGCACTACGCCAAATACCAACTAAAAACATGGATGCAATAGAGGATGCATGCTGAAACTCATGACACATCCCACACTGCGAAGTAAACAGAACTCTACGCTGGAGTTCCCCAACTTTCGCAATATTCGACGGCGTTTACAAAGGAAGCTGAATGGGGAACACGGTGGCGAACTGCATAAGTTAGGAGCGAGTCCAATATATTTCCTAAAAAATAGGCGTGAAGTTCATTTGAAGTGGGCACTAAATTAAACTGCATGATGAATATCAGGATAATATGGCGTGAGGTTTAGCATTGCTAATGAGAGAGGGAATTAATTTTACTGCTTGCAGCTACCTAATTATTGGTTCAAACAAAGGCAACTAAACCTTGCAAACGTGTTAGGCTAAATGAAGCCGAATTTAAATCAATAAATGCTATGCGCGGCTCGGAGTCCTCACTGCACGGCAAGTAAACAAAATTAATGAGGAGCGAACTAACGCGTCATGGTTGGTGTCAAGTGTAAACTACGAGGGTCGCATTTGGGTCTCACGGTATCAACACAGCAATTAAGAAAATGAGGCTTAGTTAAGGCTTGTAGTCAAAATGCAGCGAAGTCTGAGAGCGAGGTTTTCGCGACCATCGTGTAAAATCCTTGATCTGCCCAAAGCTCGGCCAGTCGCTACCCTCGAGCTTGTACTCTTTGTAATATGATATCCTAGCCAGACCCTTCTTTGCGGTAACTGGTCGCTTTCAGGTGGCCGAGGAATGGCCAACGGTCGGCTATAACTAATTGGACTAGGCCGACCACTGGCCACGTATTATTCTTCGCCCCCTCATTGACTTCGCCTTTACCATGCCACCCGTCGTGAGCTGACAGTTGGATTGGACAGTTGGAGTACACTGGATTCGAAAAATTTTGATTGCTTTTAGCACAATAGTCCAAATATAAGAGACCAATATTAAGTGTTAGGACCAAGTTGTTGAAAAATTTCAAAGCACCGCATCCAAAAAGAGTTGAAAAATCCCGTAGTGTCAATGGAGTATCAGAACTTTATGAACGGTTCGAATTAAAGTTCAGAGTTAGAAAAATAGGGCAGCCAGGAAAGAGTTCACGGAAAGACGTACTTCAAAGTTCGTCCGACGTCCTCATCAAGCGAGGTCAACACGGCAGGCATTTGCCTGGCAAAGTTTTTCTTACAGGTCAAACAAAACCTTTTGTCAACCCATTTGCTACATTGTAAACATCAACATAAAAGCGAAGCATTCTCGTTTTTATACCATTTTTTCCGACCTAATTGCAGTTTCTAATTAGCTTTTGAATGAAGTTTAGGCCTCGACATTTTATTGATAGTCCGGTCGGGAGTTTCGTAAAATGGTGAACATCTTTTTTAAATATGTGTTGCAAAAATTTTCTCAAATTAACTGAAAAAATTGGAGCATGCAACTAGTTTCTTGTTGAAGATTTCTTTTTCTGAACATTTCAGCTACTTGAAACGAAAAAAAGTCAAAATACAATTGACAAAGAATAATTTTAAAAATGAAAGCGTTGGCGAGCCATTGACTGTTAGCCACTGAAATTGCAAGAATGCTTGCAGGTCTTTATTGAGCGTGTGTGAGAAACAGTGAGGGATGGAAATGCTAACTCGCTGGTCCCCAAAGAAACGGATGAAAAGTTAGCTGTATTTCGGAACAGAAACTTTGAGGCTCCCGAGATTGAGACTATCATGGAGAGGTGACTATAGAAAATCTGATTCCTTTAAATGTCGCTCAGTTGAATACACGGGCTTATGATTCAGCAGTTGAGAAATCCGCAATTAAAAATATTGCATTCATTAATCTCGGATTAAAGCGAGATATCATGATATATAAATTAATAAAGCGAAGGTAACACTTCTTGTTCCAAAAACAAATCCGACGAGTCTTTGTGGCATCTAGTAGAGCTTCGCGGGGAAAACAATTCTGAACTAGGGCACAATGGACGGCATTTAACACTCCAGTCACGCGCCTCTTGGAGTTTTAGACAATTCTAGAAACTCGAAGATTTGTTACGGTGAAAAAGTCGAGCATAGGAGTGTTTAGCCTCAAGAAACTTTCCGCCGTCTTGCAATCAAGTAATGCCGAGCGGCGGCTGCAGAAAAGCAGGCATTCACGGCCATTTAGGGACCTGCCACTCGAAACCAGCAGCGCCGACACGTTTCCCGTACGCCGCTTCTGATAACTCACTGGGGCAGGCGCGGGAAATTTGCTTTAGGTTCCATTTCACAAAATGATTTGCATTGGATAAGATTGACGCAAGGGAAGGAGCCGGTATTGGATAAGATTGACGCAAGGGAAGGAACCGGTGTTGGATAAGATTGACGCAAGGGAAGGAACCGGTGTTGGATAAGATTGACGCAAGGGAAGGAACCGGTGTTGGATAAGATTGATGCAAGGGAAGGAGCCGGTATTGGATAAGATTGACGTAAGGGAAGGAGCCGGTGTGACGTACTTCGAAATAAATTCATTGCCGGCGCTCAAGCAGGGTAAAAAGAAGTCTGCTGTGGAGAGAATTTTAAAAATCTAGCATTCAAAGTTCTTTCAAAAAGGCATGCGTAAAATTTGAGCCGAAGTTCATTTATTTGTACTGCTTATAGAAAACTTCAGTCCACATTCAATGACAGGATCAGTAATTCCGAATATTACGAAAGTAATCCCGACTGTAAAACCCAATTGGAATCAGTTCTGTCTCTCGCATCTCATCTGCGTTACTAGCCATTTAAATGCGGCTTCCAAGAATTTATTACTATTTTCACTAAAGAAGCCTCTATGTATGTAAATTTTTTCGTTTTTCCAGATCAGATCATGAATGTTCTCAAGAATATTCTGGAAAATGAAAACCATCTCCATAACTGAAGACGTAATTTTTCTCATCTTCCGTGATGTAAAGAATCACCATTCAATTCGTGGCAGTCAAGAGCTGCTTCATATGACGCGGTCTCCCCGAGTTCTGCTATACGGCAATTTGCAGTCAATACTCGACCTCGGCCCAGAAATTTGGTCCTACGTTAAGGTCAAGTAATTGCGTAGGAAGTTCGGATATTTTTCAACAGCAGTAGCTGGCGAAAAGCAGAAATTGAATTCTGCACGAATGAGATAAATTTTACACGACGACTGCTCGACTGAATACAAAGATTTGAAAGTAGGTGAATAGGGGTGAGAGTTTTTAAAAGACATCATTCTTTTCTGGCCTTCAGTTTAGAATAGCTTCACTAGGAAGAGCTTACTGAATATATTGAGAAATGCCCAAATCATACATCGAAATATCACTTTTTTCTCCATTTTGATGGAGTTAACAACAAAAACCGAACGTTCTGTGTACGGCCAATTCAGTTTATCAGGCAGTGCCACGGCACTGTCCATGATAAAGAGGCCAGTAGCTCAGTAAGGCTGGCAGCAGTCGTAAGTTTGGTGGCGTAAATAGGGCATAGCAAGGCTTGGCAGCAGTGAAAACAACATTCATTATTCACAATAACATTCATCATTCACCAGAGGGAAGGTGAGAGGCATTACTGCACTTCTTTATTCAAGACCGACCAAAACACACTGCCAATTTTCAAGCGTGTTTTGAATGGACACCGAGCCGTAGTTTGCACTGGCGTAAAATCAAACGAGGAATTTTAAGTTGCATATCAGTGAAAGTAATTAATTTAATTGTTTAATTTAAGCAGTTAATTTAAAATTAGGAATACGATGTCTTATTTCTAATGAATAAAGATTGCATTTACAAAGCTAAATACTCCTCGATTGTGAGCAAAATCATAGAATATTTTATCATCCTGATATAAACTTCTCGCTATGTCCAATGAACCGGCACACCGGCGATAAAGTGCCCTGTTTATGAGGCTTTAGGTCCTCAAAATTCAATATTGCTGACATATGTGGAGATATTTTCCACAGAAAAGGCAGTAGCATGAGATGATGGATGTCAGAAGTGGCGCATTTTGCGAATCTATATTTTAGAATCACGATATGGAGGACGAATGAAAAGATATGGATATCACAATGCAAAAGTCGAAGGAATCATCAAAGAAAAGAAAAAAGTGAGAACTGCGCAAGAATTACTCGATGATCGGAACAAACCATTACAGAAATTGAGGCTAGAGACACCAAAGGACTGCACGATGTCCTCCCCCAAAAAAAAATCACGGTAAAAGTACGTCTTTAGTGGGCCTCACTAGATCGAAAAATAGAAGACTTTTGACCTAAACTATCATGCACGGGAGAAACTCAACTCGTGAGAAATAAACTCAAAACTCTGCCTATCACGTGAGAGAATCTCAAATTTCTACATACGTACTTTGAGCAAGGCAGTCTCAAATTAAGGTAGCATCGCTAAACAACCTTTAAAGTTCGCAAACTTGGTTGAAGATTTCAAAATGATTTCAATTAAGGATCGTCAGTAGAAAGCAGAAATTAAATGCATCGATTTTTATATCTTCCTTGAAAAGATGAGGCTCGTTGCAAAAACGAACATTAGGGACGAAATTTATGGGTATACTATACTATCAATTAATTTATCAGTTGGTCAGAAAAAGATATTAATGGTCATCCATTTATATCTATTGAAAGCTACGTCTAATGAATGGCTCTGAAGGCAGCTTGATTGATGGATTGTTTGGGGAGCGGATGGACTGAGGAATTAGAATCGCTTGGGCTAATTCTACCGAAATTGAATTGAATTAGCCAATGGGAGACGAGGCATTTCTTCCCCTTCTGTATCAATTCAGAGGACGGGAAGGGAAACAATCAGAGAAATGTGTGGGACAGTCCAAAGAGCGATATACTTGTTGCCCTAGACTTCAGCCCGACATAAGGATGGATCAGTTCTACACGCAGAAAGTGTGTCACTATTTAAAATTGTCGCTAGACTTTTTCACTATATGACCAATACAATGCGTGATAATCTGTGAGAGGTGCGGACGAGGGGAAAATCTCACCATAACGGGATTATCTGAAATTACATGGTGACAATGCTACTGGTTTGTGAACACTTCTGTGAGAAATATGACTGTACATAATGTATTCTTCAAAGAAGTGCATGACATCACAGAACAAACTCAATATTTTCTGCACTAGCATTAAATCAATATCAGAGCTACGACTATATAAATGCACGGCGAAAAAGGCGCGAGCTGTCAGATTTAGATAAAGTTAAACTAATACAAACGAATTAGTTTTTGCCGTTTTTTCGAGTTTTCACTATAATATTATTCGTATAATAGACTTGATCGAACAAATGATAATAGAAAAGTTATTGAACTGAACTTATTTAAACTCATTTTAACACAATCATCAGAATACGTAGGACGCTCCAACTTTCTAGTTCATTAAAAACTGTCGAAATTCGAACCTAACTAAAATAAAGATGGAATTCAGGGAAAATAAGAGGAAGAAATGTTACATTCATATTTTCTTGCTTTTAATCTTTAGACTTGAAGTCGGCTGCCATGAAGAAAATGTGGGCAACGAGTAACTGCTTTAACCGTGGCAGTAATAATATCAATAGTAATAAAAATAATATTAATACAAATAATAATTATAATAATATTAATAATACTATTAATACTAAAAATAACAATAATAATAATATTAATAATAATAACTAAATTATTAGCACCAACCTTGGGATTAGGCAGTTCGCCGCTCTGGAGCGAGGCCATGTAGCAGCGTAGTCGGAACTGCTCGCAGTGGAGTCGCTCCAAGTTCTCCTCCCACTGCTGGATCTGCCCCAGGATCTGCTGTTTGCTCTCCATGTCTGATACCACAGACAGCTGCAGCTCTGCCATGTGCTTCAGCTTTGAGTCCTGCCAGAATACAATACAGAAATACATGTTAAAGAGGCGATTTTTATGAAAAAAATTATATCTTGATATTTCGCTTGGGATTTTGATCATAAGTTTGGTAATATTATGTTCGGAAAACAATCAGAAAGTCATATCATGTTAATGCATTTTAAGATGCAAGTACGGCAATAAAATGAAAAGTGTTGAGTCAGCTCATCATCTCAAATGCGATGGAAAATAAAATGCCATGTTTCAAGAAACTCATTTCTTTGTCCAAATTTTTGGGAGCAAGTTCAAAAATTTTTGACACCGAGATGATGAATGGGGCAGGAACTATGAAGTTGGCTTCCCGAAAACGGATCATTTCCGTGCCAGCTGCTCGACCCAATCCATAGACAGAATGTTGCGATATTCTCGTGATAAAAAGGGAAAAACTTTGAGGCTAATACATGACTATAAAAAAAACTGAAATATATTTAACATTTCACAATGCCAGTAAGTAACGCAAAACGAATTGTGCGGAAAATAGATGCTAAAATTTGTTTCTCACAGGGAAGAAAGGTCGTCTCGAAGTCTGCAAAGTTGATTAAATGAAGAACGAGATAACATTAGTAGCTAAAAGCTGGTAAATTTTTGAGAGGCTGAAAATAATAAATTTCAATTATATATAATTCCCATTTTGCCCTGCCAAATAGCTTCTCTTCTCTCTATAGGATCCATCCAGCTTTCCACCCCCATCCTTGTAAGGGGAAAGGACACGGATACAACTTCATTTGGCCGATAATACACGCCCCTCTCGCTGACTTCATTAGGCAATAAATTGTCAATTACAAGCTCGCTATTGTCGACTGCTCGTTGTTGGGAAGCATCCAATTCCTGTAGTGTATTGTTCAAGGGCAGCCACGACTTCGCATCTGATAGTGAATCTGCTAGTGAAATAAATAGGAAAGAAAAACACTAGTAAAATCGGTATTTTGGTGGATTATGTTTTGAAGCTCTATCTGCATTTTAGCGGAACGCCATACACGCGCTTTGATGATTAATTTAGTCATGCGGTTTATTTTTGATTTTAAAAAAATCATGAACGGGACTATTACTTTTTTCAGCGGACAATAGTTGTTAAACGCATTTGTTGTCATTTATATGCATAAAAGAGGCAGAGAAAACGTTGGAAAACAGAATAAAGGTGAAATTAAAATACAAACAATTTAGTTGTTTCAAATAGTTGTTTGTTCAACAACGGCGAGGCAACAAGACGCACAGAAAATATTTTGCCGCCCATTGATTATCCATATGAACGGCTGAACAGTTCCAACACCTGACTGCAGTCAAATTGCTGCACAGGGCCGAAAAATCAACACCGACTGCAGTCAAATTGCTGCACAGGGCTGAAAAATAAACACCGACTGCAGTCACATTGCTGCACAGGGCCGAAAAATCAACACCGACTGCAGTCAAATTGCTGCATAGGGCTGAAAAATCAACACCGACTGCAGTCAAATTGCTGCACAGGGCTGAAAAATCAACACCGACTGCAGTCAAATTGCTGCACAGGGCTGAAAAAAATTCAACAAAGACATATCAGAAATAATAAAACACGAATTGAATACGTTTTATTTTCGGATACCGAACAAGTTGTGACTCACCGACTCGATGGCGCGGTCGATGCGGAATATCTCCTCCTGTAGGAGGTGCAGCGTGCCCGTCTTGCCGCGGTGCCTGGCGAAGGCCGCGGCGCAGGCGCTGTGGATGCTGTTAACCCAGTTCTCCAGCTCAACCTGACACGGCGCCTGTCAGTGATACACATGAATTCAATTAATTCAATTCAATGTTAGTTCTGTCGACCTAGAGGCTGTTCTTTTTTTGCCAAGAGTTAGCTTTGAGATTAAACCGAGCCGAGGGTTAACTTTTAGATTAAACCGAGCCGAGGGTTAGCTTTGAGATTAAAAGTCAGATTTTAGGCAATACTTTCAATTGATAACTCAAAATAAAGAAGGTTTGTCTCTAAGCCTTAATGCAGATGATATAATTTCACATCTGTGTGAACCCAAGTGGCTCAAAGCTCGAAATATTAAAACTAATTAATTGAAAACAACATTCGAAAGCCTGAGAAAAAATCACAATTCAAAAATTGAAACTAGTATAGGGTTGCCTTCGGTTAACCGCGATAACTATCTTAATGAGAAAATCCGAGGCAGTTTTTACGGGGGTATTTTCTAGATCCAGGTAAAGATATCCCTGGCTCAATCAGATGACGGTCGGGAAAAGTTGCCTTTGCATCTAATCCAAGTATACCACTAAACATGAGGAACTAAAATATTTCGCGGTTTGCGATCATAATGATAACCAGATATTGGTCCGATTTTTTGAAGTGAACATCAGTAAAGTGGACCAGGGTTATAATATATAAATATTATAACCCTTATAATAATATTTTTAATAATATTTACAGAAAAAAACACGTTAGTTAGGTATTTCATAACAAAATTCTAAAGAAACTGAAAAACTGAAAGCTATGCGATTTAAAAACTGCCATTCCAAGAGAGAAATTTGAATTGCGGCAACGCAAAATTACAAAAGTAAACAGAGAAGGTTTCCAGGTTACAAAGGCTCGATTGAAGATTTCAAAGTTAAGCTAAATATTTAGGCGACGCAACATTTCAAAAGTTAGCGAGAAGCGACATCAAAAACACGCCGCACGGTTTGCGCTTCGACGCGCTATTATTTGAAGCCAGCGTCCGCAGTTGCAATTTCGGCCACGGAAAATAAATCTCATTCGTAGATGTGCTGGACCGAGGCGAGCACGGTGTGTTTCAGAAGATTTCTCCAGCAATAAAACATAATCCAACGAGCACTAAAATGAAAATGACTCGTCGTTTGTGAGCAGAATGTGCGGGAAGAAGAACGCAAAGTGTGGCCACGATCGGTCGTGAGCATCCGCGCATAAGACTTGAGTTGGTGCAATTCTTCGCACAGCGAGAAGCTGTCTGAAGAAATGTGGATAGTAGCTAATTATATTACGACGCCACAGCCACCCACGAGGATTACAACCTCACATATAACGACGCCACAGCCACGAGGATTACAACCTCACATATAACGACGCCACAGCCACGAGGATTACAACCTCAGATTACAACCTCACATATGACGACGCCACAGCCACGAAGATTACAACCTCACATATAACGACGCCGCAGCCACGAGGATTACAACCTCACATATAACGACGCCGCAGCCACGAGGATTACAACCTCACACATAACGACGCCACAGCCACGATGATTACAACCTCATACATAACGACGCCGCAGCCGCGTGGATTACAACCTCACATATAACGACGCCACAGCCACGAAGATTACAACCTCACATATAACGACGCCACAGCCACGATGATTACAACCTCAAGGATTACAACCTCACATATAACGACGCCACAGCCACGAGGATTTCAGCCTCACAGAAGTCCATGATGGTTCACTTACAATAACAATAAGATATGTGATCCAAGTGTGCTGCTCGTATTACACTGAAAAAGCGCCTAACACTAATAATAATAATATCTTCGTAGCAGCAATGCCTGAGCCACAGAGAACAATGGGGCGATGGTAATTAAAGCTTGCAGAGAGAACTAATCCCTTGTAATTGTATCACTAAAGTTTTTTATGTCTGACGAGTGCGCAGTTAATCTGGTTGATTTAATATGTATTAAACTCGCGAGCTGCAATATTTAGAAGGAAAATAATGCACCGTATTTCTTATTCATGGTACGCAGCTTGTTTATCGACAAGAAAATCCGCTGATGCAGGATTATCTCGCACGTTCTGTTCGATGGAGCAAGACTCCTGCAGCTACCATGCGCATCGGGGTCCTGGTACATTAACCTTTAATCGAGGTCTGAATAATGGAACAAGCGATCGAGTTCCAATTTTTTTACGGAGGTGAAAAATCTTCCGATGTTCAGCATCACGGCCCTGAAAAATCGTCTACAATGTCCCCAATGAATTTAAAACCCCTGAATGTATTTTTTGATAATCTCGAGGAAAACTAAGTTTCCGCATGATTTCTTGTTGAGCTCAAGAGTAGAGGAAAAAGATTCGACACGTAATAGCCGTGGATGAGATTTGTCGGGAATTATCGGGACGTGGGCAAACGGAAGACAAATTCACAAGAGATGATAATCTGACCGAAAACGTACCGAATTTCAGGTCTCACAATTAAGGGTAATTTTTGGCTTTTTGGCGGATTTTTTCACTTTTGGAAAAAATGCACTATTGTGCTCGCCATGTCCGTCTGTCTGTTTGTCTGTCCGTCCGTGACTTCACGTTTTCGTCGATGAGAAAATGCGCTCTCTGTCACTCACTGCAGTGAGTACAGAGTTATATTATTTATAATTTGAAGCAGGTAATCTGAGCAGCGTCTAGCCTCTCAGGACGCCACTCAACTCGATCTCTTAAAGGATTACCTGGAATTACCGGGCTTACATACATGAGGAAAAGCGTTATTCAAGAGGCCATCTATTTCCAGTTAGGTTACAACGAGGAGGCATAACGTTGATAAATTTGCAAGTATAAAGCCCAGTACAAAAACTAAGAAGCCCACCAACAAAGCAGAAACAATTTTAGTCATGTTTTCAAAAAGCTAGCGAAAATTTAGATGACGTGAAAGTACGAGTTCAAATGTTTCCCTCTGCATTTCACTGGGAATTATCACTTATCAGGTCTCGAGCCGACTGAAGGCTCCCCTCGTCCGGCGTCTATATAAAGGAGGACATCCGGTGCGCTATTTTATTTACCTTAGGGAGCGAGAGCGGCATGCAGCGTTTGCTGGAGCCTTAGTACGGCGCACTGCCTTTAATAAATTACAAACCCCACAGACTTGCAGGCTCGTAATATCGCTCGGTCCATATATTGCTCGTATCTCTATACTATAATACTAGCTGCATCAAAGTAACGAAGATGCTTCTTTAATAATAGGTAATTGGACCAAAAATATTTACGTTACAGCTCTACAAATTAGTTAGCAAGAAGCTTAATATTTTTCACTAATAATTGAATAATAATAATTATAACTAATAACTAACTACTAACTACAACTTAATAACTAACTACTACTACTTAATAACTAACTACTTTAACTACTAATTGAGATAGCCTTACTAAGCTTAGTAAGGCGATCTCAATTATAGAGCGTGTAGTTAAATTGAAAATGTTGGTTTGTTATGCAACATGAAACGACAGAGGGAACGGATGAGGAGCCTCGTAATAATGTAAGCAAATTACACACTTGGTCGAATGTCAAAATTATCTGCATAATAATCATACAAGACAGCTATCCATGCTTAGCTTCATTCAAATTATTTAAATTATTTTGTAGCATAGATTGTCGGGTTAGAGGCGTACAACATGTTACCGTAACGGTTGAATTAAAGGTAGCAGGACGTGCAAGTAATTACTATGTTACCGTCACGGTTGAATTAAGGGTTGCAGGATGTGCAAGGAATTACCATGATACCTGTCTCTTATACACATCTAGATGTGTATAAGAGACAGCACGTGGATTACAACCTCACACATAACGACGCCACAGCCACGANCAGGATGTGCAAGTAATCACCATGTTACCGACACGGTTAAATTAAGGGTAGCAGGACGTGCAAGTAATCACCATGTTACCGACACGGTTAAATTAAGGGTAGCAGGACGTGCAAGTAATCACCATGTTACCGTCACGGTTGAATTAAGGGTAGCAGGACGTGCAAATAATCATCACGTCGAGCTCATTAACTAGACGCATGCCTGCGCTGCTGCTACCGTGACAGGCGGCGCTGCAACTACGCAGAACACACTGTCATTAGCGGCATGTTAATTGGTAAAATTTCTCGTAACGAGGAAAATTGAAATGATTGAGAACGCAGCATTGTTCAAGATTGAGTTGATGTCGGCAAAATTGAACCTAATAAAAACCAATATTTTGCATAAATTATATTATCGATCGGTAAGTATATTACGTCAATACTAAACTACATGATCTGGAAAATATGGTATAGCTCTACGTCGGCAGACGACTATCTGATACAAAGCAATGCACCTTAAAGATAAGATATAAATAGAAGAATTTTATCTTAACATAAGAAAGATGGACATACCGAGGCCAAAAGTTTTTATCGGAAGTTAGAACGCAATATCGCAACAGTCCACACAACGTTCAAGACATCCTAAGATGGCTTTGATGACGTTCAATAAAAACGGGACGGCCTCAGAGGTCGTTTGATAGAGCAATTAAAGCATAGCTGCTCGATTCCCTTTAGATCTTCTTAAGAGATTCTGAAGGGCTCCCTCAGACACATACAACACAGATGAATGCGCCGCGACCGTCAAACAGGTTTCAATATCGGAGGCCGATTGATGCGTTAACTTTTATCGTCAGAGAGAAAGGACCGAGAGGAATACTCGTACTGTAACAAACGTACAGTATCATGGTTCGGCGTAAGGTGCAGGACCAAACAAACTGAAATCAGAGGCCTTCATTTGGTAAGTTAAAGCGATATTCGGGAAATAAAATTTAGGTGAGAATAGAAGGAAAAAATATAACTCAGTACTCAGTGCAATGAGTGACAGAGAGCGCATTTTCTCGTCGACGAAAGCGTGGAGTCATAGACGGACAGACAGACGGACGGACATGGCGAGCACAATAGTTCATTTTTTCCATAATTGAGAAAATGCGCTAAAAACACGTTTGCAAAATAAATATTCAGATATTATTTGGACTTGGGACTTCAATGGGT